AAGTAATCTATAATTTGTGCTAACTTCCAATTTCATGGGCAATGATACCTTACCTTTCTGGCACACTTTAATACCTTTTGCTTGCGTCTTTCACTCGTCCAGGCGCTGCCATCCCAAGTTCGGTGCACTTAAAGTGTATGCAGGTCAGGGTCTTTTTGCATCCTATCAATCTGCTCGGCACAGAGGCAACTGGTTATTCAAGCAACACGGTCGTGTCGTCAAGGCGATTTCCATCCATGTATCCCGTGCTGCGCTTCCTACCATTGTGGTTGTGTCACATTTCCGCACATGACTGTTGTATGGCTATACTTGTAGTGACAATGGCAACATGTCAAGGTGACCAGGGACATAAATCCGTTTGACTGGTTTTGTGGTGAACATTTCTGACATTTTTCGTCTCCCTGTAATGGGTAAATTATGCTAAATGGCATCGTGAAGCCTAGTTTTTTCGGTTTCACCTCTTAAGCGCTCTATGGTGACCTCGATTTCTGCATTGTTGTGGGCAGTTCCATTTACTGCAGACAAACGGGTTCTAACTTGTGGTTTCGCAATCCGACTTTTACTGATACATGATTACATCTCATCAATTCAACCGCAGTTATTCACGTACTAATGCAATCTTGTTCATGCTTTTTGCCTGGATCATTATGTCTTTGAAGACCTGGGGATGATGTTGGCTTATTTTTAATTAATCTGATTGTTTTGTGTTCAGGCGTTAAGACACATGCACAACTAAGCATAAAAAAACTAAAAAAACGGTTCATTATCCATCTGTATGAAAATATATTTTCGTTAGGAGCAAATATAACATGTAGGGCAGGGCCGGTGAGTCATCGTGACTTGAGACTTTTGCGAGAATGAGTTGCAGCTCTGACGAGATTCGTGATGTGACGAACGAAGCTTCAAATTGAAACGAGGGAGGAAGTCTCATGGTCGACGTACAACGAGAATCGGCCGTCGTGTTTTGTTGTGATCGACATACGACGCTCTTCATCATGTATCCTCATAAAAATGGAAGTCTCCGCAACAATTTTATCTCAGGGGATTTAGTGAAACCCGTTTTTGGGTGTATACAATTTCTACTCACAGATCCACTAAGGCTGGTACAGATCCCAAAATATTTGACCAAAGCAGGTCCAGTCTCTAAGACGAGTTATGATAATACGGGATTGGGAGAGAGCAACCATCATCGACCTGTGTACATCGGAGGTTGACTTATGTTATTTGGTTGGCCGAATAGGCAACTTAGCCATATTCCAAGAAGACTTGTTTCTCTGACGAGTTGTAGATTGTTGCCAAGAATGGCAAGGCGCATTGATGATGCCAACTAGGACGCAGGCGAAACGTATGGGAATGCACCAAGTGCAAATTCCCACGCTAGGAATCAGCACCACCACTATGGAAGAGAACTGTGAGCAAGGGAGATTCAACTTGTTGCGAAAACGAGATCAGTAATATAAGATGTATTCACAG